GAGGGAGTTGCTAATCTAGCCTCTGCCTGAGGCTATCCAGCAGGAACCAGCTGTGACACAATGCAAGTTGCCCTGGGGCCTTGGGCCAGCTGCAGTTTGTTAGGTAATTATCAGATTGCAAAAGGCCAGACTTTTCATATGCAAAGGTCTCCTGCACGGCTTGGACGGGGCGGGGTCCCAGGGGATCAACAGGGCGGAGTGAGCAGTTATGGCTGCTCTCAGTCCTGCCCTCAGAGGCCCTGCTTCTCAGTGTCCCAGCAATTGCTGCAAGCACCCCCGAGAGAAAGCTTCCCTTGAGTTCCGACCAATGCCAGATAGTCCAGTTTCTCCCATATGAGTCTGGGTCCCCAGAGACTCACTCAGAACTGGAGCTCAGAGCTTGCAACTCCCTCCCGATTGAAAAAGACAACCGTCTCCTCAGCTGCCAGCCCTCTCCACATGCACCTCTGTACCTCTGTATTTTACATCCACACTGTACCTCCTTTGAGTCTTGGTATGCTTTTCTCTTTCCTTCTAGTTGTAGAATTTCCACTCAGCCAGCCTTCCTGTGGTTCTGGATGATGTCTGTTCCGTCTTTTAGTTGTATTTTTGAAGTGGTTGTGCGAGGCAGCAATCTCCGGTGTTTACCTATGCCGCCATCTTGGTTTCGCCGGGCCCTCTTTTTCTTAACTTTAAAATAAGAAGGTTATTTTAGACCAATGAGTCTCAAACTTTGTTGCACAAACACTACTTCTGTAAAATATTAATGTATGCTTGTGGCAAAAAGGGTTTTGTGGTCAAATACATCTATGAACCATATCTCCCTCTTGGAGATTCAGAATAATATTCATTAGAGGTTCTGAGAAGTCCTAACAGTGAAAAAACAAGCCTCTTTCCAGAATTTAGTTTGACCATGGAAACCAATTTTTTTTTTTGCCATGCAAACTTTTACTCAGGTGATCTCTTAGGTTCCTTTCTCATTTCAACAACTTGAAATTTTTTAAGTCATAAATTAGAACATGGGACACTCTGTGAAATATTTACATCAGCTTTAATTCCTAATACCTTTAAATCTACTCCTAAAAGCTCCTAGACAAAACTGAGAGGGTCATAATTAGATTTTGTTGGTGGTCCTTGGCCCATTGCTCAAAGGATCAATACAGGTCTGAGCTTGCTTGAGACAGAGGTACCCAGATGAAGGAATCCCCTCCTAACTGATACCCTCCTAGAATCCTCCTTCTTTCTCAAGGAGAAAGGCTATGCTTCCCTTTCTCCCTAAGCCTTCCTTGTTTTCCAGTGGATTACAGTAGACATTCATGTAATCTAAACCAGTTCTTTTTACCTATGTGCAGTCCATCAATTGCTTTGTTGTTGTTGTTAATCCTCACCCAAGGATATTTTTTCCATTGATTTTAGAGATAGTGGAGGGGAAGGGGAAAGACAGAAGGAGACCCACATCGATGTGAGAGAGACACATAAATTGGTTGCCTCCCACACATGCCCTCTTGAGACCGGGGATGGAGCCTGCATTGGAGGTTCATGCCCTTGATCAGGATCTAACACCAGACCCTTCAGTCCATGGGCCAACACTCTAACCACTGAGTGAAACTGGCTAGGGCTTGAATGAATCTTTAGATGAGCACTTGAGAGAGAAATGAATCATGTACTTGCAACTTCAGAATGCACCATCTAGTATAAAATGACAAACAGATGTCATGTATATGGTCAACATCCTGTCCCTCACCCCCAGACAGACATTGCTAATCCACTGTGGTGCTCTTTCTTGCAGAGTGCAGCAGTGGCCACAGAATCCTTCTCAACACAGTTCTCCAGGCAGTCGCTCTTATCATCATCAGTCAGTCATTATGGGTACATAGGTAAAATCTAGTGACCAGTCCTGATCTAGTTTCAACCTTCTCTGTACAAAAGAGAAAACTAAATCCCACAGATGTTAAGTAACTTTTCCAAGGTCACACAATCAGTTGAGTCCTGAAAAGGGTCACAAGTAGAATAATTCTGTCTCTGGATGGAGTCAATTAGTAGAAAGAGTTGATGCAGAACATAGTGCCTCAGAGCCCCCTAGGCTGCAGGCAGAAAAGACCAGGGTCCTACATTTGCCCCGCTTCTCTTTGGATTTCCTAGAATCAAGCTCCCTTGAGGAGTTCAAAATATATTCATAAGTATTAAACTCTTACCAAAAGGATACTGAGCTAGTCCACTGACAGACCTCATGTTGGTCTCTAATATTTCCCAAAGCAACATTCATGAGCATCATCTATGTACTCCTCCCTCTTCCTTCTCTTCTCTCCTGCCATCAGTGACCTGAAGATGCAAAAAAAAAGGCCAAGTGGCATCACTTTCCTTTCTCAGGGGAAAGTCAGGTTATTCAAAAAGTAGTTCACACTTAGAAGAAACCAATTACAGACAGAGCTGTAGGTTTGAAACCACCATTCAAACCTCCTAAAACCTTGTGGGATATAAGCCCAAGATGGAAACCCTGGAATACCTAGCTGCCCACCCCATAGCGATGCTGGTAGACCTGGGTTTGAATCCCAACTCTGCCTTCTCCTAGCAGCATTGAACCTCTCTGAGCTTCAGCCTGCTCACCAACAAAAGGGGGGATAATAATATTTATTACTTAACCTTTTGGAAATTTTTAATGAGATGATTTGGCAAAGCACATAGTAGGTGCTCAATAAATGGCTGTTTTCACTACAATTACAAAGATTAACTCATGATGTATTAGGGAGAGCAATGCTTTCTTTCTGCAAGAAATGAGAGAAGGAAACTCAGGCTATAGCCATGTATTCTAAATATCTAGTGCAGGTTGGATGTAACATGACAATGTCTGCATGCTCCAAAAGAGGATGACCATCCAGCTAATCTCTCATTTGTCTTTTCCCAGGCACGTCCACTGTAGTATGCAAGCCTATAGTCATTGAAACTCAGCTCTATGTTATTGTGGCCCAGCTATTTGGCGGCTCTCACATCTATAAGCGAGACGGTTTTGCAAATAAATTCATAAAAATCCAGGATATTGAAATTCTCAAAATCCGAAAACCCAATGATATTGAAACATTCAAGATTGAAAACAACTGGTACTTTGTTGTTGCTGACAGTTCAAAAGCTGGTTTTACTACCATTTACAAATGGAATGGAAATGGATTCTACTCCCATCAATCCTTACATGCGTGGTACAGGGACACTGATGTGGAATACCTAGAAATAGCCAGAACACCTCAGGCACTGAGAATGCCTCATTTAATCCTGTCCAGTAGTTCCCAGCGTCCTGTAATTTATCAGTGGAACAAAGCAACACAATTATTCAGTAACCAAACTGACATCCCTAACATGGAGGATGTATATGCCGTAAAGCACTTCTCAGTGAAAGGTGACGTGTACATTTGCTTGACAAGATTCATTGGTGATTCCAAAGTAATGAAATGGGGAGGCTCCTCATTTCAGGATATTCAGAGGATGCCATCACGAGGATCTATGGTGTTCCAGCCTCTTCAGATAAATAACTATCAATATGCAATTCTTGGAAGTGATTATTCTTTTACTCAAGTGTATAACTGGGATGCAGAGAAAGCCAAATTTGTGAAATTTCAGGAATTAAATGTTCAGGCACCAAGATCATTCACACATGTGTCCATTAATAAACGCAATTTTCTTTTTGCTTCCAGTTTTAAGGGAAATACACAGATTTACAAACATGTCATAGTTGACTTAAGCGCATGACACACAAATTCTGTGGCTGCCATAAGAAACGTTCTACAGTACATGGTCTGGATGAACTCAATGCATGATGACTCTTCTTATCCCACTTGCAAATGAATGCCTTTCAAACACTGAGACTGCTAGAACCAAGCACTACCATATCCCCATCTTTAACTGTTCAGTCCAGTGGTGTGGGAAGTTACCTTTTATAAGAGAAAATTGAATTGTGTAACTGTTCTTTGCAGTGAAGGTGTGTAAATAAGCATTTAATGATATCTGTTACTCCAAAAAGAAATATTAATATGTACTTTTCCATTTATTTATTCATGAGTTCAGAACTGCCAAATAAAATGTTTACATTTTCTTTCATATCCCAAGGTAAGTACTTAAGGGAGTTTAGTTTTTTCTTGGTGATGGTGTATTTAGGAAATAGTTTTATACCATAAGGTTATATTTGAATCAATAGTTTATGTTGTGACTAATGAGTGAAGATGAAACACTGATATTGATTATCCATAATTTATGAACAGGTTCATCAGTTGATTTTGAACATTCAAAGGTGTTTCCAAAAGTCGTGACTTTTAGGAACACTTTGAGGTAAAGTGGTGACAAATTAAAAGAAGGGTAGAGAAATTTGCTTATTACAAGAAGACTAATTTGAAATAAAAACTCTAAGATCCATCCTTTCCTGTCCAATAGCTACAGCTACAGCAATCCTTCAAACAACTTACAGGATAAGTTAAAGCCAAGATTTGGGATTTTCAAAAACCCTATTTAGGGACTTTCTAAATGTCCGACTCTAGAATCATCTGACAGCTAATTGAGATTGTAACCTTATAGCACTTGCCTCAAATTGAAGGCCTCTTGATCTGACCAAGGACTTCTAGAGACCAAGTCTGATATGTTATTGACATGCTGCAGAGTGCCCAGGAGGATCATATTTGATTTTCTAAAACCCTGCCTCTGGATCACAAGGGTCGTAGCAAGTAGCACAATGCCTGTGCACTCTGTGGGCTCTCAGAGGTGCACATGTGTCCTCCTGTTATAATAATAAACTTTATGAGGCCCTTTGATCTCATCAGTCAGTACGTATGGAGTACCTAATAAGGTATCATTCCTGTGGTGTTGAGGGGAGAACTGAAGGAGAGAAAGGCACCATCCTTGCCCTCTGAGTCCTTAGAAGGCTCATTGGGGGTTTAGGACACAACAGAGCAAGCAGTAAGTGCCAGTTATCATCTGAACATTCAATTGTAAGTTTCAGGAGAGCATCAAAGATGTCTTCCTGAAAGCTGTGGTCCTTGTTTGAACTTAAGGGAAGATAGGAGTTTAAATGGGGATCATGACAGAAAAAGTATTCCTGGCACTTGGTTCTGCATGCTGCCTTTACGGAAAGGAACAGAACTTCCTCCAGCCCACTGTTCCCCAGAGTCTTTGACCAAACGATTGTGGGAAGGTGTGGGTAGGGGGACATCAACCCCTCTGCCAGCCCTTATCTGGCAAACTTGAGGCATCAAAGGTACACACATCGTTATAGAGTCTCCCAGAAGCAATACCTTAGGGCAGGGGTCCTCAAACTACAGCCCGCGGGCCACATGCGGCCCGCCGAAAACATTTAACCGGCCTGCCGGGTGTTTATGCCACCGCTGCCTGTTGCTTAGCAGCTGACTATTTTTTTTAAAAACTATAGTCCGGCCCTCCAACGGTCTGAGGGACAGTGAACTGGCCCCCTGTTTAAAAAGTTTGAGGACCCCTGCCTTAGGGAGTTATGCACAGGAACCTGACTCCTTTATAATAGAGTAAAGATATTAACTCTGACATCAGGGTTATGGGGGAGAAGAAGGCTTACCCACTCCCGATCCTGCACAGAGGGAGAACTGGCCTTTGAATGCATTCCTTTCCTCAGTTCCTATTTTCTGTAAGCAGCCTGTATGCTGTTGGAGAACACCTGCTTTGTAGAGAGAGGGACCAAATCCAGCCTTGCCATGTACTGGCTTTGTCCACAGACAAGTTACTTACCCTCTCTGAGCCTCAGTCTCTTCATCTGTAAAGGGACAATAATGCCCACTCCAAGGACATGGAAGAATTAAGGAGCACATGGCAGACTGAACTTTTCTAACATGTGCTATGAGAACCTTGCCCTCATCCTATCAAGAGGTGGTGCCTAATTCCTCTGTTCTTAAATCTGGACGGGCAACCAATAGAATGTGGAGGAAATTATGCAGTTTGACTTTGGAGCTGGGGTTACAAAATGATGATGCTTTTGCCTTGTGAACCTGAACTGACATGTCAAAAGTCCTAGCAGCTTGAAGCCACCATTCTGTGAGGAAGCCCAGGGTTTGGTCGGCAACCTCAGCTGAGGTCTCAGCATCAACCACCAGTCATCTGAGTGATGGCTTCAGGGGATTCCAGCTCCAGGCTGTCAAGTCGCCACCAGCCATCAAATCTTCCCAACCGAGGCCCTGGATGTTACGGAGCAGAGACAAGCCATCCCACAATCACCTACTCAAATTCCTGACTCATAGAATCTATACGCATAATAAAATGGTTGTTTTAAACACCTAAGTTTTGGGGTGCTTTGTCACTCTGTAGCAGTACTGGGAATAGCACTTGAAGTGCTTAACCCAGAACTGGCACGAATTAGCACTCACCAAGTGCTAATGGTTCCACACCCACAGCATGAGTTTGGGTCACACTCTTCCTTTACTGTCTTAATGTAATGCTCTCTCCTGTTTTCAATATGTTACTGTGTTCTTACTCTGCCAGGCACTGTGCGGAATTGAGGGATGCGGACATTAAAGACTTGCCCTGCTTGTTTTCATAGGAGCACTGACTATTCAACTTGGCAAACCAACTCTCTACTTTACCTTAAATCTGAGACCCAGAGATGTGAAGCAAGTGGGGTGGGGTCTCCTGACACGTGGTCCAATCCTTGGTCCATAACATGGTGCCACCTTTCAAAACTGCCCCCTTCATTTCAAACCTGGGATGTGGATGGGGACAGAGGTGAGGAAGCTGACAGAGAAAATAAATGTTAAAAAGACCAAGGAGAAGGACAGATGGTAGGGTCCACTTTTTGTAGGAATTGACCAGTCTTTTCTGTGAGTTGCCCTCTCTGCCTGTGTCCCTCATCTCCTCTACACTGTACCACCCTCCAGCCATAGACGATTGGGCCTGGAGTGAACTCCTGATCCAGGTGTTCAACCCAGAAGCTGGGTGGGCTCATATCTATTTATCCCTTCTGGATATTTGGCATTATGTCTGTAGCCATGGCACCAGATTTGAAGGTGATGATCTTATATCAGGTTCCCTCAAAGCAGCGGGATTTACTGAGCAAGTGCTTTCTCTACGTCTGAAAGATAGTGAGAGGGGCACAGGGCAGGGAAAGATGCCATTTCAAAACTCTGGCTTCAGTCCTACCCCAAGGGGAACTCTAGAGCATGAATTGTACCGCAGAGCATATCCTGCCTTGAGGCAAGGAGGATGGACTTTTATAGCCCCTCATCTGATAGTTAATGCCCAAAAAGTGTGGGGCATAATCTCTTAGGCATCTCTAGCAGAGAAGGTTGGCTAAGGGCAATGCTCCACAGAAGGGTTCAACTGTGAACTGTTAAGTAGAACCCACGTCAGCTGCAGGATGGGTGCATCAGCCTAGTAAAGGGCATGTGGGTGGGATACCAATAGCATAAGCCACAGGGACACTGACTGGGGAGCTGAAGACACCATTTTGGAGCAGCCATGATTGTCCATGTACCAGAGGAGCAGAGAAGGTTGGTCTCAAAAGTGAGTAGGGAACGATGTAGAAGCTCAGAAAGAAGCAGAAGTGAGAAACTACATAGTCTGAGGGATGGAGTGAGGGAAAGGGGTAAGAAAAGGGAGAGGAAGAGAGGGAAATGGGAGTGTAAAAAGGAAGTGGGGGAGAGAGTGGAGGAAGATTGGGAAGTATGGTGTCCCAAGTTGGGTCACCTGAGAAGTTAATGCACAGATCTTTATTAGGTAGTACCCTTGAGAGCAACATCTGGAAGGGAGGGGAAAGAAGAATTTGGCAGAGAGAAGCTGAGCTGTGATGCAGGTCCCATCAAGGCAACCCTGTAGGGAGCTCTAGAGCTGAGACGTCTCTTCCCAGTTGTCCCAAGGGGACCAGAGCTTTATACCTTTGTGTTGATTACTCATTAGATGTGGCCATCCTTGGGAGAAAGTATGGCTTTAGATGAGGCTGTTTTCTTAGCCAAGGCAATCCCCAAAGACGACAGACAGCAGAGGCTCATCTTACAGCCACAATTGGAAAACAAACTCTTTATTCTTGAATGAGGATGGGTGGTGCAACACAGTCTCCATTGCAGAGGAAAGAGACAGAAAGAAGGGTGAGTGAGAGAAAAGGGAGGAGTGGCAGCCTGGATTCCATTTCCTGCTTCATCCCTCATTAGAATCAGTGGCACCCCCTGCCCTTGAACTCCTTTAGGTACTTCTGTAGTCTTCTAATAACAACCACCCCGCCCCCGCCCACACACACATATACACACTTTATTTTATTTTATGTTAGTTTGAGTGGATTTCTGTACTTACCACAAAGTTATCTTCAACTAAGTCAGAATGTTTAGGCACCATGGACTATAATATAGATGTGTATAGATGTAATGGTGAGTACTAGATATTTTAATCTCTGCTATTCACACTGTAAAACTTCTATTAATCTATCCTCAAGTTCATTAATTCTTTCCTCTATTATCTCCAACCTCAACTTTCTTGAACAAGTAATATTATTTCAATTAGATCAGTGCTTCTCCACGTTAAATTTTTTTTCCAATGTTTAAAAAGGTTTGGACCATAGAGATTTAAAAATCTCCAATGCATTTTAGACCAATGTAATCTGTTTGTATTGTGAACCAATATTTTTGGAAGTTAGAATAAAAGTGAATTACTAGAAAAATGATCACTTGCTTGGTTATTGTGGCCATGTCAAACGGCCTATAAAAGTTTCTAAGTGTTTCCTCTCAAGTTCTGTGCTTATCTCATCCCACACTGATTCTAAACTTTTCCTAGACTGGCACTGGTCCTAGGACCACATCTATAGGTACACTAAACTAGTCAACTAGAGCTCAACGCATTCATCTCAGCCTTACAATTATATATCAGTTTTAAAGTGTTATATACATGCATTTTAAGATGGTTGCTATCAAGGCTATGAGGCATCAAGAGATACCACAAGCCAAGAAGACCTACAAGGCCTTAGAAAGTCCTGAAGGTAGAATTTAAAATCTAGCCCAGCTTCTCCTCCCACCCTCCAATTCACCCACAAGTTGCAGTTACCCATGCAACTTGACAAGCCCTATTTATCTAAGTGCGTGCTTCTGTGCCCAGGCTGCTCCCGCCACCTACAATGTTCTTTCCTCACTCTTCTATTTTTTAAAAAAATATGTATGTTTTTATTAATTTTAGAGAGAGAGGAAGGGAGATAGAAAGAGATAGAAACATCAATGGGAGAGAAGCATCAACATCGATTGGTTGCCTCCTGCATGCCCCCTCCCCCCACTGGGAATCGAGCCCACAACCCATGCATGTGCCCTGACTGGAAATCAAACCGATGACCTCCTGGTGCATGGGTCGACCAGCCGGGCTACTTTTTTAAATTTTAGTCCTTCTCCAAACAGTTAGATGGGATTTCTCCTTTCTCTAGTTTTTCTCAGCCCATTGCTTTTACCATGAGCAAGGCTCATAATTCATTTTGCCTTGCATAATGGTTAGTTGTTATATCCATCTCTCCACCAGGTTACACATCCCTGAGATCAGGACTGTGTCTTAGACATATGGCATTCTTTCTTCTATCTCACCCCACCCTCCATCCCCTAGAACAGTCCTACTTTGCAGAAAGTCCATCAAGTTGGTGGAAATGAAATAGCTTTAAGCACCTTCAGCCTTCCTGTTTGCATATCTGAGAAGCGGCCACATCCCCTACTGTGAATTCCCAGCCCTACAAAGAATCTTGGCTACAGATTACCCCAAAAGAATAGGCCTGCCCATGCCTACCTGCTTCCCAAGAGTAATCGATTGAGCTGGAAGATGAAAGAGACAATATTTCTGGAGTAAACCCTTATTGAAACAGATTGTAGGTCTATCTAAAACCTGGTCCACAGAACTAAAGAATGGGAACTGATTTAATTAATCTATGGAGACCCAAAAAGCAAAAAGCTTCATACTAACACTTTCAGAAAGTCTATGCCCTTTGAAATTTGTATCCCTAGAGAGGGATCCACATCCTTGGTCTACACCACGCAGAGATCCCCAGAGGGAGCATCTTGCCTGGCTGAAGTTTTTAACAATTGTTCCCAGCAAAACTGTGTCCCAGAAATCAGTCCTCTGGACAGGGCCTGATCCCAGGACAGCTGTCCTCTGTACTTCAGGCTCTTGATCTTATCTATCCTCACATACTTAAAAATTCTAAAACAAACAAACAAAACAATTTTAATATGGAAATATTCTTTAATATTTTCATGTAATTATAATAATAAATGGCATTTATTACGCACTTACTCTGAGCCAGGCACTATACTAAGTGCTTTATCTACAGTATTGTTCCATCCTCTGTAATATTATAATAATAGTATTATTTGACAAATGAGAAAGTT